TCTGTAATAAAAGACGTGAGGAAATTCTGTCTTTTTTAAAGACAAAAATTTTTGAGGCGAAATACCCAAAAAGAAGTTTGTAAAAAAATAAAAAAATGTTTTTTGTCATTAACAGATGTCTCAAGAATAATAAGTATTTGTCAAATTGTGACTTAGTCTGAAGCTTCTTTCACAAAATGTACGCCAATATCGAATATGCGATTGTACTATTAGATACTTATGGTGGAATGCGACAGTAACATAGCGGAAGCTGGGAGGACTTAGACACAGAAATGTTTACGTCAATTTGAGGTTATCATGACAATACAAGAACAATTTCCCGTTGACAATATTGACATTTCGAAAAACTGAATTCCTACATTGAGCGAATGAATGCTGATGAATTTACCTTCTACCCTAACCTATATTTAAATGTATTTCTAGGGTTACTTGAGCTTTTGATATTTTTCTGATTTCCTGGAAAAACATTGTTGCCGACCTTCTGATGTAGTTTTGGTAAATATCTCAGTTTTTGACAAGAATATATTTTTTACTATTTATCCTGTACTCCGTACACACCCCCAGAGGAATGTAATCAAACCTAGACCAAGTGTGGAAGTGGCTCAATGTGTGGGAGTATCAATTTGAACATGGTGAAGCGCATCTAGAGACCGATTAGGACGGACTTTTGATTATTGTTCGACAATAATTCTAGATGGACAATCTCCAAGTAAAGTTCTTCGAGTTGAGGCTGGCTGACGATTCGGCCACAGCAGGGCCTCCTCGATCTCGCCACTCGTGACGTATAACAAATTGACAGCCATCAGTCATCGCTCAGTGAAAAATGGTTCGAAACGAGCTGCGAGCAACGGCCCGTGAGAAATTTGGACCAGAACCGGCTTTTGTTTACTTCTTGGTACTGCCCCATTGTGTACGTCCGCTTATCAATGCAAGATTTCAGATTAGCGATGGGTACGAGCAGCGTTCGGAAATTGGTGAACCCGAACAGGACAATTTGAGCTACGACTTCTATGCGTTTAGTCAATTTTGATTTGAAAATCTTCATTCATCGGCACTTAATGACTGGCAAGTGGCCAATGCGACTTTGCCCATTTGCTTCACGATTCCGCCCGTAGCCAAGTAATAACTTGCAAACTAATAATTGATTTCTAAATTGCGGCTACTGGAATTAATTATAATAATTCGATCGCTCGAGCATTGGTTCTGGCCGCGTTTGTTATAGCAATAATCCGCTTAATGAGTATCAGATATTTAAATACCGCAGATCAGACAACCATTAGGAGTAAGTAGTTATCTATCAATCATTACACAAATTGCAACTGCTTGCTGACTATTTGATTTAATGTGGGTCGGCTTATTACGTCGCAATCCATTAGCAGGGGCAAAAAACGGATGCATAATATTCGACATGTCAATCTGGAGCAATCCCGGTCGCTTGATTGGATCTATCAAAAACTTTCATAAGTCGAAGAGTGAAGGGTTGTGTGGACAGAATTTTACAAAATTTGCCCGTAAGATAAATCAGATTAAATGGAAAGTAACAGTTGCTCCATTTATTCGCTTGCCGAAGGCCTACCATGTCTTTTTATTTTGAAATTTGCAAAACTATCCAAAGATTTAATTAGTGTCTTAATGGCTCGCAAGTTAAATGAAAACCGCGAATAATCGATTATTCGAATGATCAACTATTCTTTCCTGGTTCGAATCGAATATGCGTAAAACGCAACCTAAAAACCCAATTTTTTAGGGATTGGAGTGAAGATTCAATTAATTAATATATTTAACCACTGGTCACGTTAAGTTATCATTGTGTGTTTGCTATTCGTCAATCTAAATTTGCATCGGCAACACTGCTAAAAAAGTACAATTTTAATCCAATCTTTTTCATTCGATCGTCAAATATCATAAGATTCTTGCAAAATTCAGTGTATTTTAGGCTGGAAAATCAATCATTAAGAATATTTTTTTCAATATCTGTACTGTTGTTTCTCTTTTAGAATTGAGCTTTCACTCTCATCTCGGATTGTATTGTTTTATAGAAGAACCCATAGCCAAAAGTGAAAACTGCCAAGCGACCCACATATTAAAAAGTAAAAAAAAAAACAAATAGTCGTTTGCTATAACCTCGGGCCACATACTATTTCGGCAAGTCCCGCCCAGATAAATCAAGGTAAATCAATAATCATTCTATGATATTCTTATCCTTCCTGGGTCTCAGTCAAAGTGTGAAGTGAAAATTTTGAAAATCGTTTATTTCATTACGTTTTGGCTAGACAACAGCGCTATCATCAGATTTAAAATTTGTCTCGACAGACAAATTTAAGGTTTCAAGAATGCAAAGACCTAAAAGAACGTTGATTTTTACCAATCATGAGTTTGTGTAAATTTTAAATCTGAGCATGGCGCTGGGGTCACGCTGAAACGTAGTGAAATAAACGATTTTCAACAATTTTACTTCACACTTTGACTGAGTCCCAGGAAAGATGAGAATATCATAACAAATACACGCAGTCAGGAAAATAAACCAGAATAATAATCATTCTTTCACCTAAAAATTCAATCAAACCATTGGATGCATAGGGAAACTGAGTTTCTTGTAGAATGCTAATCAATTGATAACTTGGGACATTTCATAAAGTCTTTGAAAACTCGACGTTTTTGTTTCATAGTGTTAAAAATATCCAAGAGAAGGGGGTGGATTTTAGGGAAACAGTTTTACTGATAAACCCTGGTCGATCACCTGTTCAATTTTTCAGTTTACTCAATGCCTTGGAATAGAAGACATTTGCGAACAGAAAAATTGTTTTGAAGAACACAACAGCTGAACATTAAAAGCATTCAACACCCGAATTTGAAGAAACTTTTAGAGCCAAAAGACTCCTAATATTAGGATAATCAAGAGTCAATTTCAGGGTTCTTTAGGGCCGCCCTCTTTGAGAAAAATATATGGATTTTTCCACCAGAGAATAATCAACCGAATCTGATGATTAATGACTTCGATCCCCAGGGTATGTTAATAATTATACGAAGCAAAGATGAGACGTTCCGGATTAGTGACCAGAGGAAAAGTGAAAAAACCACAACTGAACCGCAAGAAAATAAAAATTCTTCAAACATTTCACTGCACTTGAACTTTCCATCGTTAGTGGAAAAGAACAGTAATTAGTTTCTTTGATATCTGGCGCAGCCCCCGACTCTTGGATAAATTTCTTTAACATAAATTAGATCTAAAATAAAATCTTATTGGATCCATTCGCATTTGGGCGTAATCCGTGCCGGCAGATAAAAAATATCCCTGGGAATGAAGCAATTCCATTTCCATCGCGCGGAAAATCAAAGCGTGGAACCGATCCGGACCGAATTAGCATTTTTCCTCATTACCTCTGTCCGTGCTATTTTTCCAGATTTGGCTATGAATTTTAATTTCGACTCGGTTTCATCTTGTTTGCGGCGTTTCGTGGAGAAAATCCAATCGACCAAAAAAACTTTATTAAAAACACCCGGAATTTTCACGTCCACATAATAGTAAGATTCATTTCGTTGTTGGCACAATTATGCAAGTCGATTTATTTTCAATTGAGAACATAAAATCATTGATGGAATGTTGTGCCAGGTGCAGGAAAACTCACGCCAGTTTATTAACAATTTTATTCGGTTGTTATTCAACAAATATTGTGCAGTTTGTACAAGTCATGAAAATAAATCGGCTGCAATGCAATATGCATTTTTTTCAAATGGAATTGATAGCGACCAAGCTGTGTTAAATTCTCCGTTCTGAAGCCGATATTCAAGTTCCGGATTTTTCCAACTTCTTTAAGATTCTAAATGACCAAATGTTATGGTGCCTTATGAGATTTTTATACCCCTAACCACCGCTAAAATGTCCTCTAATCGGGACTCAAATGTACATTGAGCTCAACAATATTGTAAAGTTTGCGCTTGATTTACGGCGATTAATTCACATTAAATATAATGCTCTCTGACATTGAGATTAGCCGAGGTTAGGTATTATTTAGCTAACAACGTAAAATTAACTTTCATTGTAAAACATTAAGTGCGTTTGCAATAAATTGCAAAATTCATTTTTACTTTCAAAACGTGCTTAGAATTCACTTATTGTTGAATTTACAATTCAAATAACTTTGCTGATAAAATATTCGAAGCTATATAAATGGCCTCTTGCCACGGTAAGAAGCAATTATCACATCCGCGCTTCAAAGCTAGTTAGTTTCTGTTACTAGTAATCATGTTTTCCAAGAAAAGCCTACTTTTTGCCTTCATATTTTTAATCATCCAGTTATTTGCCACGGTGATTTCGTTGCCTGCCACTGCGGAAACAAACTCCTCCTCACTTCCTTCATGCCCTCCTCCATGCATGTATCGGTTAGAAGGAGTGTGCCATCGTTTGAAGGGATGCCACTTTGGTATGTTTTCTTATATAAAAATCTCTGTAATTCGGGCAGTTTTTTAAAATTTAGTTAGCTTACTTGTTTTTTAGTTTATCGGTAAATTATAGGCAATTTTGTTTTCAGGTCGGAATCACTCGCACAATTTCTAACAAATGCGGAGCCAAACGCATGTTCACGACAAAATCAAGAGTTTGATCAGTTTCACAGGAATTATTAGGGCCTCGTTATTGCTATCGTGTCATAAACTTAGTATAAATATAAAACTGTAAAAATCGTTGTTTCCGTTAAATCAACCAAATCCTAGTTTAACCAAAAATTCCAACTTTAAGCAAATCAAACAAAATTGTTGTATGCGGATGCCTGAAAAATTGCTTTAAGCCTGATCAAACAAACTGCACATTTCCGGTACAAGTACTTGAAGAATTCAAAAACGCGCCAATAAATTGCAAGACATTTTGGGGCACTACAACAATTTCGAAAATTTAAGTGATAAAATGCGAAATGGAATAAACAACACTGAACCAAGTCTGATGATGGCGCAAGAAGAGGCTAACATTCCCTGGCTGTAAAGTTAAATGCTTCTTGAAACAATGCGGTGAAGAAAATATGTTTATTTGACGGCCACAAGAGCGGCTTCCATGAATTACCAGCGCCGGCCGCCAAGTCAAGAAGAAAAATGACCGACGAAAAACCGCAAGCCTTTAAGTAGTTTGAAGCGTTTTAAATTTAGTTGACATGTAAATTAAAGTACCTTTTGCCACTTTTAATTAAAATGTGCGGTAAGTTCGGGGAATTACTTTGTGGGAAATCGAGGACAAATGCAACTTTTCCCCGGTAATCGAGTGTTTATCATTTGTGTTGACAAAACTACGCCCAATAAAGTAAACAAGAATAATTTGTCCCAGTAAACAATGCAACGACTCTCCTTGAGTGATAGTTCCTAGAAGACCTTCCCTTGACGCATAATAAATAAAATATTCTTTTCATTATAGTGAATTCAAAATCATATGCGACTGAAAAAGATGGTGCGGTGATAAAAAAGGGCTGAGGCCATAATCTGAAATCTGCATTTTAAAATTCCGCCCACGCATGTCGATATCACTTAAGGGCGAAAGAGCGGATAAGGGTAAGCGCGCCGCCGGGGGTGAGTTGATCCTCGCTTTTCTGCTTACGAATCAGGATGAATTTTAAGGAAAAAGCAAACAGGTTATTGAAGAAAAAGCAAGTGGAAAATTATGAAAAGCCGATTAGTTTGGATGCTAATTCTTTTCCTGAGTTCTTTTAGAGCTTATCGACAATTCCGATAAAGAGCTGCAACATTAGAGAGCAGCCACAGCAAGAAGAAGAGACTCGTAATTTGTCTTTCTGCTTGATAAATAGTTGTTTATCTTCCGAGGAAGATCTCGCTACGGGGTGTGACGCGATATCCCGTCGCTTCATCGGTAAAAAGGCACTCTAAACTTTGACCTCGCCTCTCATCAATCTGGTATTAATAGATACTCTTCACTTGATCACTGCTTACATTAGGAACATTTTTCGTAGGTATGACAAGGTTCCGATTCGTTCGAATTTTGGTACTTTCCAACCAAAACGTCTATAGACGACGATGGTTATTGCGAACCATATGGCATTTGGACAGCTAAAATATAGAAAAACTATCGTGAAATCGGCCTGTTAAAGAGGCAGTACTACGATTACTCGTAACAATAGACGCGCCAGTACTGTTTCCCGGGCACGTTTTCTATGATCGAATTCCGTAGCAAATTCCGATGAAAGGATCGAACGTCCTAAGAAAAGAGATTCTAATTTTCGTAAGATCGACGGGCCAATTTGGGCGTTATTTTTTCCGCAACGCGGCGTGAAATTACTATTACGCATACACGAGATACTTCCAGTCGAGTCACGTTGCTGGTGATTAGGTAGTTTTAGCGTGGAGCCATTTCATATTTTTGCCTCGTAACGCAGAACTCAACAGCACCGTCGAACACAAGAAGAATCATCAACCATCGATTCGGTAAAAACAGAACGATGAAAAGTCAGTAATTAACATTAATAGTTCGCAAATTTTTTAACATCAAGATTTCAAATAGAGAGCCCAAGTGAACAGTTTATAGCACTTTTAGCAAGCAACATTTTCGCTTTTGAAGACTCAAAATGTGCCCTTTTCCAGCATTGGGGCGGTTAGGGCCGAAGAAGGCCGACAGAAGGCCAAAAAAATGTTTCGTTTGTATCAAATTTGAAAAAAAAAACACAAACATGACTTGGAGGCGGGTGATGACTTGTGTGATCAATTTCAAATATACAGGGTGTTCGCGGAAAGTTGGCCTCGGGCGATATCAAGCATAGAACAGAAATATTCGAATGTTCAATTTATATAAAAAACTACATTCTTCTTTCTTCTTCTCTTCCTTTCTTCCGTAACTGTCTAGTACGTAAGTATTTTTCAATATCTACGACTTATAACAAAATCTACCAATTTTGCCGTAACTTGGTAATTTGTAACTGAAAAAATTCCGATTGCTTCAAGCAATTTGGTTCCTGTTTGAAACATTATCTGGATCCATATTTTTTTGTTCGCCAATGTTTTGGTAAAAATTAAGCACTTCAGATTAATAAATTTTCTACAGAATGGCAAATTAAAAAATGAAAAATTTCGGGGAGTTCGGCATGCTCCTAGTTGGACAAAAATTTTTTTTCCGATCTCACTTACTCAAAAGTTGGAAGACAAACACCAAAAGTTAGACAAACCAGACAAAGAGAAACCAAATAGCTCAAAATCGTTTCTGAATTTTCCGGCCATAACTTTTATTTATAAGGTGAAAAAATCAACGTTCTGATCTTGCAGCGATAACTTTTCTGGTTCGATTTTCTCGATCTTGAGCTCACGTTGAAGCTAAAACTTCATAGACAATTTAAGACACAAATTCGATAGACAGTTTCAAAAAAATCTCCTCAATTGCCACCGAAGTCCGTGATTGTGGACGATTTTCAACCAAGTGAAGCTCACCTTCAAACATTTCGTCCATTCATGCAACCCCGGTATATTGAAATTTTACCTGAAGTCGATTGAGTTTCGTCTTCAAAATTAGCCGTAGATTTTGCTTATCGGATGAAAAGATAAAAATGACCACTGCAATACCAAAAAGTTGATTTTCTTAAGATCACGGTGTAAATAAACTAAATGAGCGAAAAATTAAAAAGTGTTTTTTGAGATTCCCGGGTTTATTTTAATTCTTGAGGTATTTAAATGCAAATAGCTTCTTTTTGTCCAACTTAGAGCGTATGAAACTTTCACATATGCATTGTTTTATTTGTTATCCTGCAGCAAATTTATCTGGAGCACCAATTTTTTGGAAAAACACGTACTAAACGAGAAAAACCTGCACTAAATAACGCTACCAACAGAAATCAAATCGCTCTCAGCAATCAGAATTTATCTAGTTCTAAAGTTGGTCGAAATTTGTCTGTGTAACGACTATTTTGCGGAGCAGTTTATATACCTGCTTATCTTCATGAATTTCGGCGTTAAAAGCACAGGCATTGTAAAACTCTTTTCGAATGGTTAGCGAGTGGCTGCCGTTTTGTTTGATGTTCAACGTGCCTTTGAAATGCACATTTGAAAGCCAATTTTCTTCGGTACCGCTCTTTGAAGCGCGGAAATTGAATTTCAAAAATATTACGTTAGTTCTAATAGGTCGCTTTTTCCGCTATAGTGAGAGGCAATTTTTAACGAGGACTAAGATACTCTAAGGCCAGTTTTGTGAGCTCATTTTTGTTGATTTTCGCCACAAAAATAAAGCCAATTTAGAACGGAGTTTCAGCCAATTCAATTCGGGAGAAAGGACTCGCAGCCAATACATCTAACACACTTAACCCCAATTAACCATATGCGCGTATCCAACAATTTTCCGCTTTCAAACTGTATCCTTTCGCTTCCTCTTCATCCTTTATTTGTGTCAACAGCGAAAATAATCAACTTAAAACTGCATTATGTCGCTAAACAGCGTTAAACTCGTGTCGTCTAGTCCGGCTCGCTAATGGGGCCCCCTGGGGGGATCGCAGTGGGGCCTCTGGGCGCACCCCCTTCATGCCAACTGTTACTGATGTCGCGCGGCGTCTCTTGAGAGAACGACAAAATATGATTTTATTGTAAACATATTAAGGCCACAATTGTGCAGGGACTTTAATCTGGACTGGTTTGAATCGGAGCTGAAGAACTTTTTGGGGTTTTCACAAAAAATTACCTTTAAATTAGTGTTTTATATGTGGATCTGAAAACATGTTTGTCGCTTTCATAACAGTTTGGTTTTTTAATTGTTTGAAGATTTTTCGCTTTTATTTATGACTCTCACCAAAGAGATCATAGGCCGAGAAGAATCGCCTTGATAGTTCCAGATTCGGAAGGCAAAGAGAATAAGATGCATTTCGAGTAATGAAGAAAAGTCCACGCAAGAAGTTGCTGGTGGACTACCCGATAAGCAAAGGCACCCCAGAACCAACCGGATATCTACTTAAAGAGTTGAAGTGATAAAGTGACAAATTTCCCAAATTTCTAACGCGGCTCCGATTTGACAAAAGTAAAACTAACGCAAAGTAAATAAAATCGAGAAGAACTGGCCTCCCGAGTGGAGATGCTCTACCCGCAGAGAATTGGTGTAAAACCAGTTCTCTCCCGTATGGTAGAAGACGAAGAACAAGAGGCACAAAAGACCGAAACTTCACGGTGGAGTTTTAATTGGAGCATATGGCCGTGTCATAGTCCGCTAGATTTATAGGTTCGGAATGACTTAACTAATTTCGCTGGTTTCTTTTCATTTCAAACACATCATTAATATTTTTGTAAGTTATTGTGTGTGGCGATGGGCCACTTGATGTATGGCCGCGGCCTGCCCCGACCAATAACATTAATTTCAGGGGATCCGCGTTCGATTGTTGGTTACTTTTGTGCCCCATGCCACAACATATGAAGATGTTTTACCACTGGATCTGATTATCTGGTGTAAATAACATTGCTTGCCGACTCATTTGTCTAAGACCCTGTAACGACTCATCAGCAAATAATTATTATTCATCAAAGTCATCAGTGAAGACACTCAATCAAAATTCACCAAACTTCGATAGTTCTGAATGAAAGAGCCCTAGTTATGTGTGTTTTATATGTGGATTTATGCGAAGGCACCCGCCCTTGTTCCATACACGGTTCGATATATCCAAAACTTGGCGTGTCTAATCGCGACTAGTGCACGTTATTAAATCGCAATTTAATGATTAATC